TTTTATGAGTCAAAATTTTAACCTATTCTAATTAGTTTGAAAAATGTCAAAATCATCATGTCTTGGTACTTAGTTGCTGTCAAATCTCTGAACATTTTCTTTCTTTCTTTCTTTCTTTTTTTTTGGGCCGGTCATGGGGCCTGAATTCTGGGCCTGGGCACTGTCCCTCAGCTCTTCAGCTCAAGGCTAGTGCTCTACCACTTGAGCCACAGCACCACTTTCAGCTTTTTCTGCTTATATGGTGCTGAGGAATCAAACCTAGGGGCTCATGCATGCAAGGCAAGTACTCTACCACTGAGCCACCTTCTCAGCCCCTAGCATTTTCTTTTTAAATGTAAAGTTCCCAATTGCTAACTAGTCATTTTGGTTGACTAATTGGTGATTTCTGCTATTGATGATTATTGGTGATACAGAGCTAGGAACCAAGGGAAAGCAACTATACTTTGTTACACAAGAAAAATAGGTGAAGAGGGAATCAAAACCAAAATGAGAGGAAATCATTTAAGAAATGATGACTACTAAGCCGGGCACCAGTGGCTCATGCCTATAATCCTAGCTACTCAGGAGCTTGAGATCTGAGGATCGTGGTTCAAAGCCAGCCCAGGCAGGAAAAGTCCATGAGACTCTTATCTCCAATAAACCACTAGAAAACCAGAAGTGGTGCTGTGGCTCAAGTGGTAGAGCATTCACCTTGAGCTAAAGAGCTGAGGGACAGTGCCCAAGCCCAGAATTCAAGCCCCAGGACTGAAAAAAAAAAGATGACTACTTTATGATAGACTAATTTGTAACTCAAGAAAATTTGTGAACACAGTCTGTAAGGTTCTAATTGTAGAAACAGGAAAGGTAAGGAAATGATCCAAACTTACTGATTTTTCCAGAGTTGTCCACTGAAAGAGAAAAAGGCAAAAAAAAATTAATAGATTCTGGGTTTTCCCTTCTTCCCAAGTCTCCAGTCTCTATATTGATAGAATCTGTGTTATTAATTGCTAAGTTCTGTTTAGTTAAATATGAGGAAATTTCATTGCCTTCCCTTCCTGAGCCTGTTGTCCTTTAGGAAGATTTGGATAATCCAAATTGCCATTACTTTTCATCAATAACTAGCAATTTCATTTAGAATTCCATGATTAGCGTTTATAAAACATGGGATATATAATGTCCTTAGTTAGAAGACACATGCTAACGTTATTCACTTAAGAATTACTTTAGGTACACTTGTCAGATATATATTTCAACTCATATTGACATATAGGTGTATCTCTTGAGTTGATGTTACTTAATACACCTAATATAAAGATACAATAATAAGAAAGCATGAAATTGTGAGAAATACAATACCAGGATTGTTTATCAGGGTTGAGAATGTAGTGTTAGGATATCTGAAATCTACAGCAAGATTTGGCAAAGACCAGCTCCTACATAAATGTAGCGTGTGTCTATTTTTGTATGCTCTGGGAGGTACAATTAGACTTTGCATTTATAGATGGTTGAAAAAGTAAGAATGATATTTTGTAGCTCTTGGGGGTCTTGCTAATTTTTTGCTGGAGCTGGCCTTGGGACCATGATCTTTTCAATTGCTGCCTCCTGAGTATCTGGGCTTATAGAAATGAGCTATTACACCTGCCTTCAGTCTGTAGCTCTTTAATGTCTCACTTGCTAGGTATAATTTTTAGTGTTTCTACCTTTTATCTTTTGGGATTTTGTTTTGTGATTCTCCAAGTTGAAATATAAATGTTTTAGTGTAATCTGACCACATTGTTTGAATATTGTTTCTTTTTTCCCCTCTGCATTTTAATTCTCTAACCAGAGAAACACATTTTCCCTTTTTATCCTTTCCATATGATGTCCTGTTTTTTTTTTATCAAAACAAAACAAAAATTGACCCAAAGACCTGCATCACTACCACAACCACCAACCAACCAACCAACCCACCCAACCAATGAATAAAATGAACCAGATACAACAGATTCCAAATGCAGAACCAATTTAGACAAAATTGAGAAAGATAATGGGAACTTACTTAGTGGGCAAAATGCTAAAAAGGAAAAAGAAAATGGATTAGATTTCAAAATTATATACATGAAAACCCACTTCAAGTATCAGAAAGCAGTCTTTTGGAAAATATTACATTCTCTCAGAATATGCTTTCTCTTATTAAATCAATTTAAAACCAGTTTTTAGAACCTAAATAACCAGGTTATTTGGAGAGTAATGAGTTAATGAAGCAAAATTTTAAAAATTATTATTATTATTATTATTGGTGCCAATATGAGTGCTTGAACTCAGGCTCTCTCACTGTCACTTGGCTTTTTTGCTCAAGGCAAGCGCTCTACCACTTGAGCTTACAGCTCCACTTTCCAGCCTGGGCAGGAAAGTCCATGAGACTCTAATCTCTAATAAACTACCAGAAAACTGGGAATGGTGCTGTGGCTCAAGTGGTAGAGCACTTGCCTTGAGCTGAAGAGCTCAGGGACAGCGCCCAGGCCCAGAGTTCAAGCCCCATGACCCACAAAAATAACAACAACAACAAACAAAATACATTCAATGATCATATTCTTTATAGTAGTAGTGATAAAGAAAAAAAACCTTCCTAAGATACTGTATCACTTTGTCTCCTAAGAAGGAAGCTACAAAGATACATGATAGAGAAAAACCCTTAATCATATCTCTAACATCACAGAAACTATAGGTAACTAGAATAGGGGAGGGATGGCATGCAGTATGAGGAATTGTTAATATTTAGATACTAGTTTTCCAGCAAACTTATAGTCTAACAACATGGATTCCAGGAAGCTGAACCTTGAGGTTTCAGGGTAGATGAGGCGGCCAAGGGGAGGGAAGTAGACAAAAAGAGGAAGGGTAGGATGATGCAGCTATAATATTCAACGTATATATGTAAAAACATAACTAGGAAAACTGAGGGGATTGGTGGGGTTGGGAGAGATGAGGGAGAATGATGAACGGGGTGACATGGATCAAGATACATTGTACTCATAAACTGACATGTTGAATTGAGACTCCTTTGTACAACTGAAGATAGTAAAAACTACTCATTTTCAGTATCAAGTATTAGTATTAATCAACTAGTAGACATATGTATGAGTTTTGAGTATATAGTAACTGTTATTACAATAAATAAAAAACCGATTCTTTAGTCATTTAGGGAAGAGTTGAAAATATAGCCATCTGACAAAAATGATTGCCTTCATGGGAGGGTATGTGTGGAGGGAATATGGAAAGCAACTGGAAGATTGGTGAATTTGCTAGAAAAATCTCACCCAAATCAAGGTCATATTTTTACCTAGTGCCTTTTTAACACATTATTGTTATACTTATTTTTTGAGGTTCTAGAGATTGAATTCAGAGTCTCAAGATTGCTAGGCAAGTTCACCTATTGTCTTTAATGGAATTTGCCTTAATACTAGTGCTTTCCTCAAATAGAACAAAGATTTTACCATCTGATAAAAACAGCTCCTTAGCAATACATAAACTACTTGGATTAGCCTCTGTCAACTTTGAAGAATCTATGATGGCCAGCTAAAGGATACTAGAATTAAGAAATAAATGCATAATAACTTACCAACAGGTGCTGGATTTTCTGGGCCGGACAACATGAAATAAAAATGTATTAGTAAAGATTCTGGATCAAGAATATGTGTCTCTAACACAGACATTTGGGCGACACCAACCCCCACTACCCCAAAATAATGGAGGCAGAGATATCAACTTTCTTTTTTCCTTTCCTTTTCTTTCTTTTCTCTTTTTTTTCTTACATCAGCAGATTGCTGAGTAAGAGAGAGATTCTATACACAGATTATTACATGGAATTTAGGTGAGAATTTGGAAAAGAAAGTCCTCCTCATATTGGGCACCCAATTTCCACTAGATTTATGAAGAAAGGAACTTACTTATAGGCACTGTTACCTGTGCTAAAATCCAAATACAAATTATTAGCATGGGTTGACACTAATAGCAGAATTAACAATAATGATAACAGAATTCTTTCTAGCACTGTTTACAGACAGGAATTTTGGGATGAAATGGAAGAATTCAAGCTACAAGCCTTATAATGAGTTACTTTAGTCCTTTGAAACAGTATTCTGCCAAGGGCTGGTGG